AAACCCTAAACAATAAAGCCTAAACCCTAAACAATAAACCCTAAACCCTAAACCCTAAACAATAAACCCTAAACCCTAAACAATAAACCCTAAACAATAAACCCTAAACCCTAAACAATAAAGCCTAAACCCTAAACCCTAAACCCTAAACAATAAACCCTAAACCCTAAACCCTAAACAATAAACCCTAAACCCTAAACCCTAAACAATAAAGCCTGAACCCTAAACCCTAAACAATAAAGCCTAAACAATAAACCCTAAACAATAAAGCCTAAACTCTAAACCCTGAACAATCAAGCCTAAACTCTAAACCCTAAACCCTGGGAGACGCCTTTTGGAAGCTCCGCGAGTTGGTTGTACTTCAAATTCCTCAGTCGCTCAGTTTTTATGGGTTGGGGTTTGGGTTTAGGGTTTAGGGTTTAGGGTTTAGGGTTTTGGGTTTTGGGTTTAGGGTCCCGTTTTAAAGGGATCTATGGGGTTCGTGGTTGAGGCTTTAGGGTTTACTTTACCTGTGAATCCGAAAACCTACCGTTCTAAGTGTTAGACCCTAGGATTAAGGGGTCATAACCTACTACGGTTGATGACATAAATCCTGCATTATTTTAAGGACCCGAAGCTATGGGAATTATGGCATATTCCTTACTATGGGTAGTGCAGGATATATATATATATATCTATATATATATATATACATACATACATATACATATATATATATATCAACAACCGTGTTTTGTAGGGTTTGGGGTTACAGGTATGCCCAGGAAGATTTATGGGTTCGGGGTTTGGGGCTTACGGGCTTTAGGGGTTTAGGGTGCCGCAGCTTCGTTGTCCAGTATCCCTTGGGGGGAACTAACGGTTAAGCTTTGGGATTCCATGGGGATCAAAATCCCCCCCAAAAGGTTTAGGGTTTGGGGTTTGGGGTTTAGGGTTTCGGGTTTAGGGTTTCGGGTTTGGGGTTTAGGGTTTAAGGTTTCTACTACTAGGACAGAATCCCAAACGTGCAAAGCTTTCCAAATCAACTACCAGATTCAGCTGGGTGAGATTCTGGAGGCCATGGAAGACACCGGCCGTGATGCTTTCGAGAGCGTTGTTCCTCACTTCTAGCTCAACCCCAAACCCCAAACCCTAAACTTGAGTTTAGGGTTTTTAGGGTTTAGGGCTTACGGGCTTTAGGCCGGCCCTTAAGGCTTAGGAGGTTTAGGGTTTAGGGTCCTCACTTCTGCCTTGATCAACAAGCCGCCCTTCCATCACAAAGATTACAACCCCAATGTGGCGTGAACGCCCTCGACGAAGGGCTTCCTGTATCTGTGATCTACATGAGCCCTAACACTCACCCAAACCCAAAAATAAAGAGCCCCTTTTTAAAAATACATAAATCAAAGACCTATTCAAAAATCAAAAAGGAAAACCCCCCCAAAAAAAGACCTGTTTTTACAAAGCCCTTACCAAACTAAGGCCCCTAAAGCCCTAAACCCTCAACCCTAAACCCCAAAACAAAAACCCCTAAAGCCCCCATTCACTGCTCAGGCTCTGGAGCATCAGCCCATCCAAGCGGCCCAGGCCCAAAAAAACGTCCGCTGGAAGGCTCTGGAGTTGGAAGCTCTCCATCCGGAGGAATCGCAGCTCCCGGTGCCTGGAGGGTTTAGGGTTTAGGCTTCCTTTAAAGGGATCTATAAGGGATCTATAAGGGGTTTAGGGTTGAGGGGTTTAGGGTTTAGGGTTAAGGGGTTTGGGGTTTAGGGTTTAGGGCTTAGGGCCTGGGTGTCATTTAGGGGTGGGGTTGGGGTTTTGGGGTTTAGGGTTGAGGCTTTAGGGTCTATAGGGTTTAGAGGAGGGAGGGGTTTAGGGTTTAGGGTAATAAAGGGGCCTTCAGCTGTATAGTATTACCTTTGAGAAACAAACTTTTCTGCTCCCTCTGTAGCAACAACATAATGTTGAAATTGCATACTACTGTCAAGAAAGGCGACCTAACCCTCTCAAAAGCTACTCGCAAGAACGGCCTAGGCCCTAAACCCTACTAAACCCCTAAACTAAACCATGAGCCACTAAACCCCTAAACCGTAAGCCCCAAGCCCAGCTGCGTCGACAAGCCGCGGAGGCCCTCCTGATTCGGCACTTTCCGAAGCGCCGGGCAGGAGCTGCAGAAGAGCTGCAGGTTCAGGAGGCCGCTTGCCTGATCAGTCGTCCATCATGACGTCACGTCATTAATCCCTTAATAAAAAAGACTTAGTAGTAGTTACTTAATTATGACTGATGAGTGACGTCGTAATCCAAGGTTTTTGCTAGGATGTATAGTTTAGGTTTAGGGTTTAGGGTATAGGGAGGATCTGAAAGCTAGATCCCCTAATTTGGGACCCCTAGACTGCTAAGGGGTACTTGAAAGGAACTCCGTTAAGGGGGATATCTATTTTTAAGGGCCCTTGTCCGTCTGCGCGAAAGTCTACGAGCTCAGGAATGTAGGGTTTAGGGTTTAGGGTTGAGGTTAGGGTTTAGGGTTTAGGGCTTCTGCCTAGGATGTAGAACTTCGGGAATGAGTGGGCCATGGCCCCTCAACTAAAGGGTAGGACCCTCAAAATAATAGGCTATTGGCGCCAACATATGTTCCTACCCATCCCTTGGAGCTTTCATAAACAAGTTAAACCATGCTCCCTAAGAACAGAGTGCAACAGTGTCTGGTAAGTAAGAGGTTTTGCAGCGTGGGTGGCTTCTGGTTTGGGATTGGCTCTCGAAGCCCTGTTCGAAATCTTGCGCCCTTAGGTCTGAGGAATATGGGACTTTCTGAAAATTAGGGCACCTTATCTTGGGGTCCTCAAAAGAAGGATCCTACTGTTTAGGGTGCTATATTAGGGTCCCCTATTTTCGGAAACCCCCATATGCTTGTTAGTACTGCGACTCTCTTTTGCCAATCTTTTAAGTACTACTGCTCTTGCGAGTAGTAGTCTTGTAGTTGCTACGTTGCTCAGAAGTTGAGAAGTATCCAAAAAGGCAGCCTAGGAGCAAGCTGGGCCAGGGTGGCTAAGTGGTTGAGTTGCGCTGCATCATCCAAGTTCACCTTCAGCACGGTGAGGTCGGCAAAGGCTGCCTGTCTCGGTGGTGTAGGGTTTCGGGCTTTGGATTTGAGGCTTCCTGGTAACCAGCCATGAACCCCCGTACAAACATAGTATACCCCAAGCTCTGCAACCCTAAAGGCCAACTGGCCAGTCGGAGCGCCAGTGCTGAGAATTGATGGTGCTGATGATGCTGATGATGGTGACGACAGCGACAACGAAGATGAAGATGAAGATGGGTATGAAGATGAAGATGAAAATTAAGATGGATATAACGACGAAGATGACACCGATGATGTTTATGATGATGGACGACGATGGTGATTGTGATGACGATGATGATGGTGATGATGAGGAAGAAGGTGGAGATGGTGATCAAGAAAAGTATGACGAGGAGCAGCAGGAGGCGGAGGAGGAGGAGGAGGAAGAGGAGGAGGAGGAGGAGGAGGAGAGGGTGATACGATGGTGATGATGATGATGATGATGACCACAAGGAGGAGGACGAGGATGAGGATGAGGACGAGGATGAGGATGATGATGGTGGTGGTGATGCTGGTGATGATGACGATGATGATGACGATGATGGTCATGATGATGATTGTGACAATGGATGCTGGTATGATGAGGAGGAGGAGGAGGATGAGGATGAGGAGGAGGAGGAGGAGGACGACACCGTCGTGATTGTTGTCAGGATGGAAGAGGGGAGTTGTCCGCTTGCAGTTTCTGAGCGAGCTTGGCTTCAGGAGGGCCCTGTATCTCCATGCGGAGCTGTGGATCAGGCGTGCCTTGAGCTGGCTGCTCTTGGGCGGCAACTTCGGAGACGGGCTGCGCATCAGCGATTGGGCCAGGAGCTTGGGCATCTGTCTCTCCTCTTCCCAGAGACTCCAAATATCCCTTCATTCAGGAATATACCCTTAAATCATATTCGGGATCCCTTATATCATTTAAGGTATCTTCCTTCATTAAGGGGGCATTTCTCTCTCCTCTTGCACCAGCGTGGCAAGCGTGGAGACCAGGTCGGACGAAGGCTCGGGCAGTTGCCAGACCGCCCTTGCGGCATCCTCGTCGAAGTGCCCGGCCTCCTCGGGTTCTCCCAAAAGGCCCCCAAAGAATAAGGAAGAGACTTTGAGTAGTAATAACCGCTTTAGGGTTTAGGGTTTAGGGGTTTAGGATTTTAGGGGTTTGGGGTTTAGGCTTTCGGGTTTAGGGCTTTAGGGGTTTAGGGCTTTAGGGGTTGAGGGTATGAACCCTGCTGCGCCTCCTGCGTCAGATTTTTCCGGATTTCTTTGAGCAGCGACAAACCCGCGAAGCTGCGGAGCCTAGGTTCCCCAGTAGCCCCTTAGTAATAAGGGTACCCTTTTTCTACTATTTGGTTTTAGTTAGGGAACCCAAATAAGGGTAGGGTTTAGGGTTTAGGGTTTTTTTAGGGTTGAGGGTTGAGGGTTTTTGGGGTTTAGGGTTTAGGGTTTAGGGTTTAGGGCTTTTAGGGTTAGGGTTTAGTAATAAGGGTACCCTTTTTGCTACTATTTGGTTTTAGTAAGGGAACCCCAAAAAGAAAAAGGGTAAAAGGGTACTACTGGGGAACCTAGTTACAATAATCCTTATAGGTCCCTTATAGAACCCTTTCAGATCCCTTTTAAGGTACCCTAAACCCTATAGATCCCTTTACGTTGCGGAGCCTGTCGGCGTGCTCCAACAGAGTCTCCATGGGAACCTTCAGGGCGTAGTCCTCAAGGTTGATGCTGCGGCTGCCCGGGTCCTGGGCTTTTGTTAGGGTTTAGGGTTTAGGGGTCTAGGGTTTAGGGTTTAGGGTTTAAGGGTTTAGGGTAAATTATCTAGGAGCTTACCATAACAGGGATCCATGGTAGGTCATTTCATCTGCTTATCGTGGCACCTTAAACTAAACTCCTTCACAAGAGCCAAGAATCATAAAGCCACTTCCGCTCGAAGCCTTCGCTGCAATCTGGGGCGCGGGTCCGCAAGCAAAGCAAGAGCTTCACCGCACCCTCCGGAGACAGAAGCATCGTCTGATTCGGCTTCCTCCCCTCGTTGAAGTCGTGCAAGCTCGTGTCCGCGGCGCTCCTGCCTCCCAAGCTCTGTGCGCGGACCTTTATGCAAAGCTCTTCGGACGGGCACTCCGAAAGCAGCTGGCAGGTGGCGTCCGCGGAAGCGAGGATGCCGCGTTCGGCCGCAGTTTCGTTCAGCAGCGAGCAGCCGTGCTTGCGAGCCGCCCAGGCCGCGGGGCTGTCCACCGCATCGAAGTTGATGATCACGCTGTGCTCTTGAGAGGGCCACTCCCAGCCCTCAACCGCCTCTCTCTGGTTCTTAGTAGGGAACGGATAATGGATCCCTGCGATAGTCCCTTAAGGTCCCCTTAAGGTAGTCCCAATACCCCATTCTCCCATTCCTTACTAAGAACCAGTCAGGCCTTGAGCGCCCCCTTACGAGGCACGACGGTGAAGGTTGGTAGGGCCGCCGGCTGGCTGTTGAAGAGGGGAACGGGCACAATGAAGGGCTGATCCGAGAGAGCGATGCCGCTTGCGATGCCATCCTGCACTTTGAAGTGACCAGGGAGAAAGAATATTAGGGTTTAGGGTTCAGGGCTTAGGGCCTAGGGCTTAGGGTTCAGGGTTTAGGAGTAATATATACTTAGTCATGTCATTATAGTTCCTTTCAGGAACAAGTCCCAAAAAATGTTGAATTCCAGAACCCAGCATCATCCGCACCACAGACCGCATAGCGTGACCTCACGAGACCACTCTCCAGGCATCGGTCGTGTTCCCGCAAGAACCTGACGGTTTAGGGTTTAGGGTCGTAGTGTTACTTTCCGAAGGGTACACAGTAAACAAGATGCTTTCCTACAAGTAGTTATGGCATCTTAAACCCCCATAAAACCTAAAGCCCCTAAACCCTAAACCCTAAACAAACCCGACGCGAACCCGATTTAGGGTTCAGGGTTTATGATTCGGGTAGCTCTCTAAATTAGGGTCCTTTTTATCAGGGTGCCGTACTATATTGGGGACCTGAAAAGGAACCCTAATTTAGAGGACTACCCATTTAGGGTTGTAGGTTGGATACTGCCCCCACTCAGTGACATTTGAGTAATATTCATCATATGGATATGTAAGGCCCTTAATAGTAGCCCTAGTATAGAAAGGCAGTACCCAAGTCTTGTTTTAGGGTACCTAGAGAATCCAATACCCCTTAATTAAGGAATATACCTTAAACTATAGTAGGATCCCCTAATATGATTTAAGGTATATTCCTTAATTAAGGGGTATTGGAGTCTCTGGGCTGTTAAAGAGCTTAAACTCAGTTACTGCACTATAAGGAAACCCTATTATTTACTACACTATAAGGTATTATAGACGGGCAGTACTCTAGTCTCGTTTTAGGGTAACAGGATTAAACCCTAAACCCCATTAAACCCCATGAAACCCCAAACCCTAAACCCCATGAAACCCTAAACCCTGTTAAACCCCTAAAGCCAAAATCCACCCAGAGACTCCAATACCCCTTAATTAAGGAATATACCTTAAATCATATTAGGGGATCCTACTATAGTTTAAGGTATATTCCTTAATTAAGGGGTATTGGAGTCTCTAGGCATGGGAGCCGAGGAGCTTCCATGAAACCCTAAACCCCTGTTAAACCCCTAAAGCCAAAATCCCATGGGAGCCGAGGAGCTTCCGGTCTAGGTCGCTGGCCGGGATCCAATCGGACCAGTTGGCACGGAAAGCCTCGGGTCTCTCTGGTTCTTCAGGCTCTTCAAAAGGGCACTTAAGGGTTTAGGGTATTAGGGTGTTAGGGTATATTAGGGTATTTAGGGTATTTAGGGGTTTAGGGTTTAGGGTTTAGGGTTAAAGGAAACTAGAGGTGGGGATTTTAAGGTATATAGGGCTTCTGTAAGGTACATAGACCTTCTATAAGGCTCCAAAAAACGGTAACTACCCACCTGAAAATGTCCTAGATTCAAAGGCTTTTCTAAGCGGCTTCCATGGGGTTTAGGGGTTTGGCTTGAGAGTTTAGGGTTTGGGGCTTCGGGCTTGGAGTTGTGGTGGTATCCGAGCTTCGCCTTGAAACGGTGTAGGGTTTAGGACTTTAGGGTTTTGGGTTTAGGGTTTAGGACTTTAGGGTTTAGGGTTTAGGATTTAGGGTCCATCACGACGCAAACACACCAAAAGAAACCCATGCAAACCCATGACAACCCTCAGCAAGGAACACCTCTGTTCAGGAAACCCGGACATTCCCCCTATAAACCCTATAAACCCCTATAAACCCCTATAAACCCCTATAAACCCTACAAGCCCATATAAACCCTACAAACCCCTATAAACCCCTATAAACCCCTATAAACCCTATAAACCCTACAAACCCCTATAAACCCCTATAAACCCCTATAACCCTATATAAACCCTATAAACCCAGAAAGCCTTCAACCCGGCATCATAAATCCTGAACATTCGACGCCAACCCTAAACCCTAAACCCTCAAAGTTTAGAGTTTTTAGGGTTTTGAGGGTTTTGAGGTTTTAGGGTTTAGGGTTTAGGGTTAATGAACCAGAAAGGGCCCCCAGTTGCCGCTGCAAAGCCCCCAAAAGGCCCCTCATAGGGCCGCAAGAAACATCCTGAAACCTGAGAAAAAAAAAAACTGGTCCAAGACCCCTTATAAGAAAGTACGGAGAAAGATTTCGAAAGATGTCAAACCGTACGCCCGAAACCCACACCCTCAAAACGAAAAAGGATCATGGGACTTGTTAATTGGAGTTAAGGTAGCCAGACTTACAACCAGTGATAACCCAAGTTGAGGTAGCTATAACCTTACTTACTAAGTCGCATGATCTTCCAAGTAGTCATACTTGCCGTTAGCTTCCCTTATAGGACCCTTAACAAAGGGCACTGTGTTGAATTAATAAATTAAGAAAGGCCTCCTACCAACCTCAACCCTAAACTCTAAACCCTAAACCCTACACCCTAAACCCTAAACCCTAAACCCTAAACCCTAAACCCTAAACCCTAAACCCTAAACCCTAAACCCTACACGTCCTGAAGCCTACATCCTAGCCTTTCAGGGGCCCCTTGAACAAACCCTTTAAGGAGCCCGCCAAGGGACCATGTGACTACTTACTCAGGCTCGTATATTACATTTTAGACTCAGGGTTCAGGGTTGTAGAGTGTTTTAGGGTGATGGGGTTTAGGGTTTAGGGTTTGTCAAAATCAAAAATGAGAGTTTAGGGTTCTAAGTCTGCGGCAAGCCTGCGAATCCTGACACGACCAGCATGACTTCTGGCGCCAGCTGCAAGGGTCCCGCTGTAACGCAGAGCAGGAGAAGCCAATTTCTTAGATCTCAAAAGACAAGCCCTAAACCCTAAACCCTAAACCCCTAAACCCTAAACCCCTAAACCCTAAACCCTAAACCCCTAGACCCTAAACCCTAAACCCCCAAGTCAACCCCAGGTCTTAGCTGCAAGGCCGCGGACAGGCCTCGACTCCCAATGCTTCCCCGGAGTTTGCACTTCAGGGTTAAGGGTTTAGGGTTTAGAGTTTAGGGTTTAGGGTTGAGGGTTTAGGGTTCAGGGTTTGGGGTGACTACAGTAGTTCTTCCTCTTCCGCTTCCTCTTCGTCTTCCCGCAACCAGGCGACGACAGATCCATCTCTCAGAATGGCAGCAAAAGAGCTTGCAGTGGCTTGGATCTGCTGCACATTCTTGAGCTGATCCTGCACAGCACTGCTGTCTCCACCAGCGTCACCATCACCCCAGGTCACGACGGTTCCATTGTCAAGAATGGCAGCAAAAGCGCCGCCGGTGGCTTGTATCTGCTGCACATTCTCCAGCTGATCCTGCACAGAACTACTGTCACCGCCAGAGTCAGCGTCACCCCATGTCACGACAGATCCATCGGCAAGAATGGCTGCAAAAGCGCTGCTGGTGGCTTGTATCCGCTGCGCATTCTTCAGCTGATCCTGCACAGCACTGCTGTCACCACCGTAATCAGCATCACCCCAGGTTACGACCGATCCATCGGCAAGAATGGCAGCAAAAGCGCTGATGGTGGCTTGTATCTGCTGCGCATTCTTCAGCTGATCCTGCAGATGACTACTGTCACCACCGTAACCAGCATCACCCCAGGTCACGACCGATCCATCGTCAAGAATGGCAGCAAACGCGCTGTCGGTGGCTTGTATCTGCTGCACATTCTTCAGCTGATTCTGCACTGCACTACTGTCACCACCGTAACCCTCATCACCCCAGGTCACGACCGATCCGTCGGCAAGAATGGCAGCAAATGCGCCGCTTCTATGGCCTCCTTGGACCTGCCGCACGTTCTTCAGCTGATTCTGCACTGCGCTACTGTCACCACCGAAATCAGCATCACCCCAGGTTACGACCGATCCATCAACAAGAACGGCAGCGAATGCATTGCGCGAGGCTTGGATCTGCTGCACGTTCTGAAGTTGATCCTGCACAGAACTACTGTCGCCACCATTGTTAGAACATCCCCATGTCACGACGGAGCCATCGTCAAGAATGGCAGCAAAAGCGGCGCAGGTGGCTTGTATCTGCTGCACATTCTTCAGCTGATCCTGCACATGACTACTGTCACCACCTTCGGCAGGACGACCCCAGGTCACGACCGATCCATCGGCAAGAATGGCTGCAAAAGCGGTTACGGTGGCTTGCATCTGCTGCACGTTATTCAGCTGATTCTGCACATGACTACTGTCACCACCGAAATCAGCATCACCCCAGGTCCTGAACGCTCCATCACCAAGAACGGCAGCAAAAGCGCAGAGGGTGGCTTTCACTTGAACTCTGCTTACATGCAAAACGAGCGAGTCGCCATCTTGCAGCCGGACGCGCTTGATCGGTGCGCGTGCATCCAGAACGCCTTTAGATGAGTGCACCAGTCGCCCGCTGCCGACGCCGAGTGCCGTCTCTGCGCGTCGCTTCAGCCTCCCCACCTCTTCCTCCGAGTCGGCTTGCACAGTAGCTGTCCTGCCACTGAGCAATGCAACTTGCACAGTAAGCGACATCTTGCACGGTGGAGAAGCACAGAGACAAATGTAGGGGCCTTAATAATTAGAATAGGGTTTTGGGTGTTCCTTATTACAATTCGCCTCGGCCCCGGCCGAAGCGGTCAGAGGTTCCTATTCGGATTCCCTCTATTCCCCACCTCTTAATCCCCTCCCCACTGACCCCCACCCCACAAAACCACCATCGTGGGGGGGGGGG